AGCCAGCATGCTGGCTGGGGAATTCTGGGAGTTGAAGTCCACACATCTTCAAGTTGCCACAGTTGAGAAATACTGCTCTAACATATCCAAATTCTTGGTGGCTGGTAAGGCAGATCTGAAGACAGAGAAGCATCTGTGCTCTTCCAACCATGTCTGACACCTTCCACCTTTCATTACAATTTCCTCCAAAGTCAGGGTTGTGGGCAAGAGTTGGGAGAGCCTGGGTGTCTTTTACTTGCCCCTGAAATAGTCCCCAACACCCCCTTTTTGAAGCTTTATTTGCTTGGGATTTACCAATCCTTGAAAGGGTTCTCTGGAAAGGGGCCTCCAAGGAATTCTATGGCCCCTGGGTACACACAATGACATCCTAAATGCATTGTGACCTTGAGCAGGCAAAAAAGCACTTTCGTGCATGTAAGGAAGGGAGAAATTCCAAGATCTCCCTTCCTCTTGCTACTGTCCCCATTTTCCGGAAAAAAAAAAATCCTTTTCCACAATAGTTGGTTTTTGGTGGATCTGCTTTAGGGAGAGGGCAGCGGGAACTATTATTGTGACAACAGCAACTCTTCTAGTTACAGGATTCGAAGAATTATTTTGGGGCAAATCCTCATATCCCTGTAATCCTCTGAATAAACTATGTGTCAACCAGTGCAAAAGAAAACATGTCTGCACCTCACATTTAGCAGAAAGTGAAAGCTATTAATATTCTGCTGGTGTGCTAAGGTCAGAGTTCAAAGTCTGTGGGAAAAACAGAGAACTGTAGACTGAAAAACATGTTATTCTGTATTTAACCGTGTGAGTAATTCCACATGACAAAGTGAGCGTAAAGTGTATTACACAAATTAATGTAGCACTTCCTCAATTTTTTAAATTGAAGTAGTAACCATGTTTATCATTCAGAATCACTAGCAGCCTATGCTGGCAGGTGGAGAGAGTGGTTTTAAAAAAAACATGAACGATATTTCATTAGTTCAGTGACTTGGGCTGCACTTTTACAACTGAACCAGATAGCATCTTCCCTAGTCATAACAAATTTACCCAGATGTATCAGAACTCCACCTTAGCCACAAATGTGCCAAAGCAGGCTTCTAGGCTGCAAACTCCTTTGTGCACAAATGCTTTGTGTATCATTCAAGTGGCTGATCCAATCACCTGGCATGTTTGCACAGTCCACAGTCAGTAAGCGGGGGCTGGATTCAGTCGCTTTTTCACGTCTCTCAGTTTAAGCCTTTCTGATTAAGTAAGGCTACTGAGTCTGGAAGCTGTGTTGGACTGGAATGATCTCACATCATCTATGTGTTTTTAAAGGAAGAAATAGATAGGATGAACTAATTGTGCTCAAAATACAACACTATTTCACACAGTGTGGTTGTGTGCTGTAGTGTCTCTCTTTTGGACAAAAGGTATTTCACATATTAATTTTGTTTTGGAAAATCCAGTTTTTGTAAATTATTGTTATTTGGAATGATAGATATACCAGTGGTTTAGAACTATCAGGAAGACAATGGTAATATGTATCTTCTTTATGTTTCCAATTTTTTTCTCAACGAATAAGGGGAGAAGGTTATCAATTCCTGATCAGTTATGCAGTGGTCCAAACAAATTATATTTATATATTTGAAGAGCATTTCATCACTGGAAGCCCTTTTCAGATGACTAGCTAGAAAACTAGATTTCATATACTAGTATATATGTACAATTTCCTCTTGCTTCTATTAAATAAATATAAATGTTATAATACATATAAAACATTCAATTCATAAGAAATGAATGCTTTTTGTGGACCATACTTTCTTTATTTGCATATGATATTGTATTTTTACTGCTTTTTTGTATAGCGGCTTAAGAGACTTTAGAGTAGGTGAGCTGTTTAATACAGTTTGATATAAATAAGTGAAATATGAGTAGATGTGTAATTAAGAGTATTTCCCAGTTCCAAACTGGCATAAAAAGCAGTGTGTGTGTGTGCATGCTTGTGTGGATATATATATGTGCATATTGTATACACACGTATGTGTAGCCAGCTCACATATGACTTCTGTCACATTGTGCAGCCGCGATGAAAACTTCTCCCCCACTATGTGTAGGAAAGTCCTTGTTCATTATCAGCATCAATCTTTACATGTCTTGTTTTCACAAAGAAGACTATCTATCATGAATCCAAAATATTCTACATTGCTTATTCATTACTAGCACATGACTCAATTTAATGACTCAAATGCTATTTCCTGCAACAGCCGTCTGGTTATAAAAGATTTCAAACTCCTTTTTTTTTCTAGCATCACAGTTCCCATTTTGCTATCCGCAAATACTCAAGATAAGGATGGAGTCTATGAACTGAGCTTTTTTTTTTTTTTTTGGAAAGACACGGTATTCAGTCTGCAGAGATACTAACAGAAATAATGAGATTATATGTCTCCTGTTAACTTTTCTCAGCTGATCACCTCAGATCAGAAAATGTAATTCTAGGAGATGGAACTATTCAGGACATTTATTTCATTCAGGCATTTCAAACTTAAATGCTTGTCTTCAGAAAACATTTTAAAGTTTATTTTTTATCTGTGGATGAATGCTTCTAGGATATTCTTTTTAAAAAAGGGAAGTCCAAAATTGCTGTTACCCTGCAAGAATGAAATAAAAATAGCCCTGATCTATTCTATCAGTACTGTCTGGAATACCGATGCTGCCTATCCACTTGAAGAGAATTGGTTCAGGACCTAGGCCAATTCCCAGAGAACAAATATCTAATTGCTTGAATCAGCTCCTAAACTACTTTGCCCACCAACAGATTATATGGAAAGGCCATTTCCCCCCCACAAGCAATTGCTGCTGAAGTAGTCGGCTGCCTGCCTAAGTGATAGAAGTTTGACTCTGTCATAGGAGAGAGGTTGTTTAATTGTGCTAACTGGTGGTTAAATACCAAATAGATTTTTTAAAATCTGCTATTGGTTACAGCTGACCAACGCAGTCCTACTCAGGCACTGGGAAAAAAAAAAAAAGGAAAAATCACCAGCGTAGAAGATAACACAGATATTTGCAAATATGAAGGCTTTCTTCTTGCAGACAGCTGGACTGTTTGTTGTGTTCTCAGGTGGCATTTGAGTGAGATGGGCATGGACATCACCAAAAACGTTTAAAGTCACCACAAGCATCCCTTAAATATTTACCCATAAATACATAGACCAAGGAGATGTCACATGTTCCTGTGTAATGCTGAATCTTTCACTAAGCATTCCGCTTATTCTCATGCTTGCTTTACTTCCACCTTAATACGCTCTTGTTGTATTCAGCAACCAGACCCAATTCCCTAACTGAAGCCATCATTTTTGTTTTGTAAATCAATAGACATTCAGTTAATTTCTCAAATTCATGTTTCTCAATGATCCATTAAAGAGGAAAAATGTAGGACTAGTGTCTGATTCAGCCACCATTCTGCAAATCTCGCGTGATGATCTGAACCTCCCCCAGTCTTCCAAAATCATGCACAAGAATACTAAAACCTCATGAGATTTCCCATATCTCAGCATTTTCACATGAGATTGCTGAAAGCTCATGATTTTTTTTTTAAAATTAAAGTAGTTTTCAAATGTAATTGAAGGACCTGTTTGTGGCCCTTGCAGGCTCTGGGTTGTTCACTGCTGCTGTAAAGAGAACTGACTTGGGCCAAACAGAAATACTGCTTCCTGGATTACACCCTTATTTCAGACCCTCTTGCTTTCAGTTGCATTCCCAGGAATAGGGACAGACATGCTCATCTACCTGTCCAGTCGGATGATTGGAGTAGGCAATACACATGTTAAAAGCCAGCCGAATTCAGCCAAAGTGTGCAGTAAAGGACCATAATCTGTTTTGATTTCACTTCCCTGTTAACAAAAATAGATATAGAAATATATATGTAAGAATAGAGTAAGCATTTCCACAGACTAATCAGAGGTGGAGAGAAGGAGAGGAATCTCAAAGCTGCATGTACATTAAAAAAGGATTATTAACCCAATGTAGTATATTTATGAATGCAACAAATACAAGTAGTTAACATACAACAAATAAGAACAGTGTGGGATATAGTTATGTTCTTCCTATTGTTCTGGTTTGCCTATAGAGACAAATTTGACAATTTCATGTTTCTTTTCCTGAAGAGATTTAAACTCTGTTAATCACATTTGATTTTTAGTGTAGACCCAAAAATACAAGCAGAAGGTTAATTCCTTTATATTTCTGCTCATGTGTGGTATCTCATGCCAAAAGCTGATTTTATAAGATTTACTATAGATAGCACAACCCAATGCTGGTCTATTCAGAAATGAAACCTCATTCCTGGAACTGCAATCTTACTCAGCTGTAACACACACTGGAGACTATATATACATTTAATATCAATGACTTAACAAAAGTTTTAAAAGGTACGTTACACGTCCTTTTCCATGATTGGTTAAATAGTTGTTTTATTTCTATAATAGCATCATAGTTTTTGAAGTGTTACATTATGGTACATAAATATTGTTCTTACTGGTATGGCCTCATATAATATTTCAAATCACATTGGGCCAAAAGTGTGTCTGTGTGTGTGTATATGTGTGTGTGTGTGTACTCTTGAAATATTCTCACTTCTCACAGCCCTTTCTCCCTAATTCTCTGTTCAGTTTCTAAATGTGATTGAACCTAAAAGTACATATATACTGTGACTTTAATGATGTAAGTGTATCGATGAGCTAAGAACAAACAAAGAAATTATCTTTTTATACATATAGAGGGATTTCCTCCCCTCTTAAGAGCTCTAATTCATGCAAAGCTATTTCTGTGTAACACTCCCTGCAGCTTCCCACAAGCAAAGTCAATGGGGAAGCCGGCAGCAAGTCTCAAGTCACTCCCACTCCCCCTGCTTTTTTGCCCTTGGTCATTCTGTTCTCTGTTTGGGTAAGGAAATATCTCTGAAATGATGACCCAACGGGTCGTGGGTTGTCTAGTCTTAAATAAAGACTGCATGTTTGAGAAGGTGGCTATGGAGAGCCAAAAGGAACAGATGACCTTCTGAGACTTGTCAGCTTTGCAAGTGTGTGAGGGAGAACCAGGGCCAGGCCAGTGGCTGAATTTGCTTGGGGAGACTTCCTCCTTCTGCATCAAGGCCCCAGATTAATCCTTTCATGAAGCCTTGAATGCAGAAACAGCAGCCTTTGTGGCCACATCCCTTGGACGAGGGCCAAAGCAGAAGCCGCCCATCTTAAGTTAGGAATATGCTTTTGTTTCCAGAGGACCCGATGCGCTGGTTCTAGTGCCGTGATTTCTTTCTAGTCCAAGGGAAGGAAAAGAGCTAGTGGCCTCACAATGACGATTCTTTCACTCTTCCAAATTTAGCCCTGTGATTCTTTTTGTTCCCCTCCCCCACCCTATTTAAATTACAGGCAGACTCCAGGGTGCAAGAGCGTTAGATAATACTGTACAGTATTTTAGACTGTAATTATCATTACTTTCACTAAGGTAGGATTTCTCATGTATGAGTCTGTTTTTGAGTTTGAAAAATCCCATTTGGATTTAATTCAACTTAACTTTAACAGACACCCTTGTTTCATTTGTTAAATTGAAGATTTGGTTTGTTTATGATTGCAAGCTCTTGATATTCATTTCTTTGAGCGTTTTTTAATTTAAATAGAACATTATCTTTAATGTTTGCCTATCAACAATAGCTTTTCTAATTGTGACAACCATAATTAAATTGTGTTTAATTGTAAAGATTTGGACCTTGTGGCAGCTAGAAAACAAAGATGTATTGAGGAATGATTACCTAAAAATGGTAATTGAACTGTGGTTTATTTTCTGCTGAAACCTCAAGTACATTTAAAATGGCAAGCATGTCATATATTTGCTCAGATATTGATTATCGTTCTAATTGCACGGTAAGGCTATGTAAACCCTTGACATTAATCAGTATGAGTAACTTAGATTGTCAAAAACAGAGATGGGGAATTACCTCAATGACAGTCCATTGTTCCACAACAATGGCATCATTTCCTTTCCTCCCTGAACCTGGAAACCCCGGTTCTTCTTCATATATAAATAACCCCTCTAACGATTTGGGCCCGAAGTCAGCTAGGGAAAGAAGAAACAGAAAGTAGTAAATAATATCGATTTAAAAATCATTTAAACTTTATTACATTTATGTATTAAGAGGAGTATGTTTTTCTTCTCTGTCTCGCACATGATCGTTCTGATGTAATTATCAATGAACAGCATTTGGTAAGCTTTTTTTCCCCGGTCAGATACCACATACCATATCCTGTCAGGTACCAAATACAAGGTACTCTCTTGGGTTCCTATGGTGAGCGGGGTTGGAGCGAGCAGAGGGTGAGACCAGAGCCCAAAGTGCATGGACTTTTCGTCTTAGACACCCCCATTCCCCCATCATTGACTCTCTCTTGGTGGGAGGAAAGGAGACTGGCCTTCCCCTCCCCCAGCAACTCTGCTCAAAATAGTTGGTTTGCTACAGTGGGGAACAAGTGATCTGCAAAGAGAACAGCTGGTGGAGAATCTTCATTGCTTCTCCCTTCCCTCTAGCAATCTTTTAATAGTTCACTGGGAGAGAAAGCCAGTGCGTGGTAAATGTAGTATCTGTAACTGTAGGCTGGGGGTGTGACAGAGGCTGAGCCTTCGGGCTGAAAATCTTATCTATGCCTGAACTAAACAGACCACTGTCTTTATTTGCTCTGCATCCTATTTTAAGACTCACACAATTTCCTTTTGTATCTATCTCCTTGAGTTTTTGACAGACAGAACTTTATTTTGGTCATTGACCAATAAAGATACATTCAATAAAAGAAGCAAAGCAAAATTATCCCCTAAGATTAGTAACTGTTGGCAACCATTTGTGGACAAAGCTTACACATAATGTAGCAGAATTTTGTCACTTTTAGAGAAATACATTTATCTTGATTGTTTAACAGATAATGCAAATAAAAATTATTGGAGTGCCCCAGAAATTTAAATAAAAGGGGGTAATCAACTGGTAGCGAATGTCCCTGTAGAACTGACAATACAAAAGAAGATGAGCTGTGGTTTCTATGGCACTCATATCACAGGGGCAGTATCGGGTTTCGTATGGGGTTTTCCTATATTTCCCTTCCAAAACAGCTGTGGGGAGAGCATTAAACCGAGCTAAAGAAAGGCTCTCCTCAATTTGGAAACCGTAATATGATATAAATATGAGGCTGGTTTGGGTGCTAAAATTTGGTAATTTGCAATGATTGTCAGAACCTCGCAATCCAGCGCTGCTGGTTCGCTTGCTTGTTTCTGCCATTACAGTAGAAGGGGGGGGGAGAATGGAATGTGACCCATTAAGCGCAGATGGTTGTTATCTGGTGCCCAGGACTTCCAAGGCCGTGCCATCCTGGGAACCCAAGGACTTTGTCGACATGCGGAATAGAGTTTCAAAGACAGAAGGGGGGTGGGTGTGAGATGGGAGTGAAGTAAAACTAAGTTTTGGCGTGCGCGGGACTCAGTTCCATCAGTGCTTTAGAGCTGTACACTACTTTCCAATAAATGAACTTTTCTTTGAACCTGCATTGGCTTCAATGGGAGTTGCTTTAGTTGGAAACTGAGTACTGCAGTTCTTACATATTGCTGGAACTCCTTTTGGATTTTGCCCGGATATTATGAGAAAAGGCAGCAATTTATGTTTGGCCCTCTGCATCTAAGATCCTTTGCCTTAATATTGAACTAGCTTGATCTGACTCTAAAGTTAAGATGGCATCACTGGACAAACCATAGAGGCTCAGTGTCTTTTGAATAGCTATTTCCCAAGAAGACTTGAAATTGTCTGCCAATATTAGATGGGTCAATCCACTAGGGGTTATGGTGTGGTTTTAACCAGTAGGTAAAAATATTTATCCAGAGATTAGATTCAAGTTTACTGACTCCTGCTTCCCGTTGAAGTACTGCATAGATAACTATGTGGAAGAACTAATGGTTGCATTCCCTACAGCATATCTAATATCAGCTGGCAATTTTCAGGCAAGAATTGGAGCAAATGCAAGTCACTTTTTGCTAAATTTCACTGCCAGCCTTTATCCTCTGTAACAACATCCCTTATTCTTTGCCACCAGTCTAAGGACATATACAGTGATTATAGAGGGCTTTGCCTTGTTCAAACTTTCACAAAACTGAATTTGGTAATTTTAAATGGGTCTATTAGTGATGATTACCCAGCTGAATATACCCACTGGGCTGGTACCAAGCCTTCTTTGCTAGCCTATTTTGGGATCTCTCAGAGTTTAATTCCCTAAGTTTCCAATTGTCAGCTGTCCTGAAAGTGACCACTTTCCTTGAATTTTCTGGAATGAATTGTACTAATATCCTTATTTTTAGGTGTAAAATTGTGTCATTATCCTTACCTTTAGAGGCTTCCCAACACACAAAGGAGTCAATTAATGACAACCCTTGTTTGTAATAAAATGTGGTTAAATCTAGCCAATCAGCATCCAATGTACTAATCACAGATCCTTTCCGTGACACTTTCAGAGACAAAATGCCATCATGATAGGTCCAACTGTTGGAATCATCTTCAAAGACATTGAAGACTATATATAGCTTGGTATCTAAGAACAAAATATGAAATAAAGATATTAGGATAATATACATTGTAAAAATATCAATGGAAAGGAGATCATATTTATGGATTTTTTATCTACAAAATTGTATTTTGCATTAAGAATACAAATGAAGGTTTCATATGGATAAAAGCTCAGCATGACATTTGAATACTGTTTTAATTCAAGTGGGATATCAGTCTTTCAATACAAAAGCTAAAATGTTGGAAATTCCTACAACTTAATGCAGGCACTTCAATCCAAACTCCTTCCTTTCTTTGTGCAGAACATAAAGTTTGCAAGAAAACAACCAAGTTCAGGGAAACCCCAAGGACTCCATAGTTTCCTCTTTCAATTTACTTTGTGATTTGCAATTTTTTTCTTTTCTCTCTTTTGTGTTGACAGAACTTTGCTTTTCAATCTTTTCTACCACCTAGTACCTACACTTCCGTTCTGAAGGTTTAATTTGCTCATCTATTGCAGCTATGCTCATATTGTTGTCATCTCACCAATGATCTTGCAACAGTAATTATGCTGTTGACATCCTCACTTGGACTGCCAGTTTACAACCTAAACTTGGCAACACTACATCCTAATCTTTCCAGCCAAATCATCCACATGAAACTGACATTTCTCTCTAAAGTTCATCCTTCTCCAACTACTTCTCCCATTCAACTGTTACTTCTTTTTATGATTTCCATTATTCACCTATCCCTCTCTGCCCAGAATTCACCATTTATAGCAGAACTTCTACTGCTGTGGTGATATCATCCAAAAACATGGGTTTAAAAAAATAGTGATCTGTGTTTTAGAATCTGTGGGGGATTTAGGGATGGATATGGAATATGTGCTACCATACCATTTTTTAAAATAAATTCAGGGGTAATTTGCTCTAAGCTACTTCATTAAATTTACTTTATTTTGATTAACAATCACCAGATTACATAGAAACATAATGAAAAACAACAGTGTTCAGCTTTGCAACACCTGTTGCCTCTTTTTCATTGTGGCCACACAAATTTAGCTACGATATGGGTGATAGATGGTTTCCCAAGGAAGGAGGTTTATATAATAATGATCAGTTGTTCCTGAGTATTGCTGCAGCAGAGGTTAGATATAATTCTTCTGAATATCCCATAGAAGTTATAATATAATAGTATGTGGTGTAATGTTTCTATCTCCCCAGTTTTGCATGGGTGGTACACTGAGCTAGTGAGGTTTTAGAGGGAAGGATGTTGTGTCTGGCCCTGAAAAATGTTTTTCACAACTTGGGAAAGGTAAGAATATTTAAATATTTTGGAGGTTCTCAAGTACCCTTGGCAGCCTAAGTTCTGTTACTCTGTGACAATTGTTGACTTCAACCTGATGCTCCATCTATATATTACTAAAACTCTCATGTTTGTAACCTTCAATTGGGCGAAATGGTGCATCATAGAGCAACAATTTTTGAACCAAGGTACCTCAAATGGGCTAACTTACAGAATGTGTCCAAAATTCGGGGCCCATGACTCCCCTTGGACTGAAATTTGGGAAAGTTATGGCCACTTACAGTAAGTGCCGCTGTGCTGCCATGCCGCTGCAGTCATGTGATCATCATTTCCAATGCTCCCTTGCCAGCTTCCCACAAGAAAAGTCAATGGGGAAGCTGGAAGGGATGGTTGCGCCTTCTTCCCCAAACTCCCTGCGCTTGCACACATCCACCCACCCACCAGCACCCTCCTTCCCGGGCCTCCCTTCACCTGCACACACACACACACACACACACACACACACACACACCAGCACCTTCCTTTCTGGGCCTCTCTGTGCCTGCACACACCCTGTGCCCTCTTTCCCCAGCCTTCCTGCGCTTCCACACACACACGTACACACCCACCAACACCCTCCTTTCTGGGCCTCCCTGTGCTCACCACACACGCACACACCCACTCACATGCACCCCATGCCCTCTTTCCCTGCATGCCCTGTGGCACCCCTGTGCTCCTTACTTAGGACTTCCTCCGGTTCCCCCACCGCAGGATCCCCGCAGCAGAGGTGTCTGCACACCCCAGCAAGTCAAACTCAAGGGCAGAGTACAAATATGATTTACAACAGAAGTAAGTGTGTGCATCAGAGAGAAAGGGAATGGTGTTTAATGGCATATATTACATATTTATAACAATGATTAAGAAAACAGAAATATTAAAACTGGAAAATTAATGTTTTAGCCTGATGTTTTGCAGTTGCTGTACTGTAAACAGCAATATTACATATTTATAACAATGATTAAGAAAACAGAAATATTAAAACTGGAAAATTAATGTTTTAGCCTGATGTTTTGCAGTTGCTGTACTGTAAACAGCAACTGTTTCGTCAGTCAGAGGAGCTGAAAAAGGCAGAAATAAAACCAAGGGGAGTGTGGATTAAGCCATTCCAGGAATTCTGTAAAAATTAGCATGAATGATAAAAATGTTTTAAATAAGGAAGATAAATAAATATTCAGCAATGGATTTCACTGAATTTGATGGAATTTATGGAAAAGTGGTTACAGGTTTATTAGATCATACAGACAGTGTTTGTAGGAACAGTTTGTATGAATTCTAACAGTTTATTTCTGCTATTCAGGATTTGAACTTTAAGTATAATGAACATAGTTTTCAAATACGTCACGAATACTGTGCCCAAAATCCTACATTCCAATCTGCAAATTTAATATATTTTTTCTCTTCATTGAATTGGTAATTATATATGCTTCTAATATTTTATAAGTCACTCAACAACTCTCTTTTGGAGGAATAAAGCAGGGTTTGTTTGTTTGTTTGTTTGTTTTTTAAATTTCAATTCTACAATAGAATTTAATTAGAAGTGTTAGACAAATTACTACCTTAAGCTTTCTGGGTTGTTTTTTAATGTACACATTTAATTTTAATGCAAAGGAATAAAACAAGTAACATTTTAAAAACAATTTAACATACATATGTCTATCTCAGACACTTCCTCTCACTTCAGTATTAATGCTAATAATTTAAGCATAGTCTTTATAATGATAAACAAGTAATTAAAAGTATTAAGGCTCCTAATTTTCATGATAACTCTGTTTAGGTAGGAAATATCTCTGAAATGGTGACCCAAAGGGCTGCCGCAGTCAGCTGCAGTTGCATGATTGTCATTTCCAACACTCCCTGCCAGTTTCCCACAAAGGATGTCAATGGGGAAGCCGGCAGGAAGTCAGAAGTCACTCCTGCTCCCACTGCTTTTTTGGCTGCCTGTGGTCATTCTGTTTCTCTGTTTGGGTAAGGAGGTAGCTCTGAAACGTTGACCCAACGGGTCATGGGTCATGAATCTTTGCGAGAATGTTTGGCCTGTTCTTATCCCAAAGACCTTAAGAATGCAGTGGACAATCCCTATGATGCTCGGTTTTGTTGTACTGTAGCTTTCCAGTTTGAAGAATAATTGTTAACAAAAACTAGAGGCAATACATTTTCAGATTTGCAAATTTGGATCAACATGTATCCTTGCTGAAAAAAAGGATACACCTAGATATATATGATAAAGGTTTAAGAATACCTCCAAACTTTCTTGTATGATAATCCTTCATTTAAGCTATTGTTCCTAAAAATGAATTCTTCTATATTTCTGAGATAGCAATATAGTGCATGTAGAATATATAGATAGTGTGTTTAAATACCTTCTTTTTCCTTTAATTTAATTGGGCTGGGACAGTCTCCTCTTCCATCTTGAAAATCAGTATTTTGTGCTGGCCTGCTGTCTGGCTGAATTTCTTCCTCTATTCCACTCTCAGTGGATTGACCACTCAGTGTCCCTTCATTCCAGATTTTAACATTTTCCTCTGAATCATGACTCCTCTGCTCTTTGTTCCTTCTGCATAGTGTTGAGTCAGACTCCATATGTTCATCCATGTTTGTGCCATTGCAGATTTTAGACTCAGAGCAAGACTGGGTTACAAACCCAACAAACTTCATTCCTCTTTTAGCAGCATCATTGACCTATATTTGTCAGAAAGACAGTACTAATACAGTGGGGTGGATATGCAAATTGTTCATTAGGATGGAACATAGTTAATTTATACATGATGGTTTTACAATGGAAATGCATGAATATACAGAAAGAAATGTTCATTGATATATGAAAACAACTTATCTGTTTTACTGTGAATATTATGAAACAACCGCCTATTAAAGAATTTCAACTGATTGTAAAACACTCTATCTTCAGCTTCACAAAGAGCAAGATATATCTGCCCATTTATACCTGTATAAAAAGTAATGCTATGTGCTTTTTATTTTATTTATCTGTGCCTTCAAGTCAGTGTTGACTCCTGGGGACTGCATGGACAAGTGCCTGAAGTTTTCTTGGCAAGATTTCAGAAGTGCCACCTTCTTCCCAGGGCTTGGAAAGAGGGACTGGCCCAAGGCCACCCAGCTGGCTTTGTGGCTAGGTGGGACTAGAATTCAGTCTCCCGGTTTCTAGCCTGGTGCCTTGACCACTAGACCAAACTGGCTCTTAAAATGTACTTGCAATGTCTTAAAAATCAGTGCAAAGCTTTGATAAATGCTGGCAGTCTGGAATTCAACATTTAAACAGTAGTAATTAGCAATTTTCAAGGCTGCATTCTGCAAGCTTTACTGAACACTAGATGGATTCAGTTATAATATAGAACTGAATATATGATTCAGTAGGATATTTCAGCAATAAGGCCCTTGTCTTCTGAAGAAATCATAGCATATTTTTCTCTTGTGATTTTAGAAATCAGGTTTGTTTGTAAAGCAGGTCACACAAAGAAGTGAACATGAAAACATTTTCCATAGCTGCCGCCACCACCATTTTGTTCATCTCCTACCCACACTGTCTCTTGATTCAACAATCAGCAGGGGAAGGGTTATGGGGGAGCTCAATTGCAGGAGCCTATCAATGGGGAGCTAGCATTATTTGTAATGCTTCTCCCCTCCTGCAATCAAATGACCCTCAGCATTTGCAGGCTATATAAATGTTAAAACATCCATGTGATGTTAAAACAGTCATAGCAATAAAAACAGTAACCAAATTAGTTTCCTCATAAAAACACGAGGACACAAAAGTGACAGAAAAACAAAGAACAAACGAGAAACAAAAAAAGCAAGATGACGTCAGGCAAAGACTCAAGGAAAGGCCCTCCGAAGCAACTCAGTGTTTAAGGTTCTAGAAAACTGACAAGGAGGGGGCCAGCCTGATGTTCTCCAGGAGGCTCTTCCACAGTACTGGTGATGCCTCAGAAAAGCAGGGCTGTCTAGCTTCAGCCCCCTGAACCTCTTGGAAATGTAGAATTGTGAGAAGTATTTGGAGCAGATGATCCAAAGGTAATTATGTTAACATCAAGACACATTTTGATATTAGATGTGTATGGGTTCTGTTTGGGAACAATCTCTGAGTAGTCTATTTCTCTAAATTATATTATATATAATATAAAATTATATACTTATATATAATTATATAAAATATATTAATTTATAACAAAAATAAGGCCAACAGCTTTGGCTCTCAGAGATGTTGAGGGATGGTCCTCTGTTACAGACAATCTGAGATCTAATCAAGAAGTTATTAAGATAACTTCTGTAGTGCAGTATATGGTCTATAACACACATTTCTAGAATGTTATGCATTTTAGTTCTTAGAGCAGGATTATAGTAAAAGAAAAAATAAAATATTTCATGAAGTTGGTCATACCTTCTCCAGTAGTTCCTTAACTGCCTCATTTGTTAGTTTTTCATATGTTAAAGGACACTCCTCAATCACAAGCCTGGGTTGTCTTTGTTCTCTCATTGGTGGATTCTTCTGGCTAGAACACAGAAAGAAAGCACCCTTTGTTGAAATTTGACGTTATCTTCTGCAAAATGCTACCAAGCAAAACTTTTTTCATTCCAGAAAATTATAAATTCAGTGTTGGCCAACCTCTTGTTTGGGTAGCTCTTCAATTGTTCTTGACTGTTTTGCCCAAACATGTTGCTTAGAACAGAATTGAATTACCTATTGAGCAACTTTATTTGCATTTCATTTAAATATCAAATATTTTTTTGCTGAAAAATGCAAGTATAAATGTATGAGTTAAAAAGAAAAATCTTCAGCTATCCAAACAGTTTTATTGAAGGTATTTTAACTATAATGCAGACTGGGTAAGGGTAAGATTTGAGACACTTAATTTGAGCTATACCACATTACTTTTTTTGTAATGGTCCTGGGGTCAGGTGTGTGTATATGCAAGGTATGCAGGAATTTGGGGGGTTTAAGAATGTTGTTGAGGGTTGGAGTTTGGAGGTTTGGTTGCAAACTGTTTGGCTATGTTGAGAATGGGAGATCTGAGCTGTGGCAGTCAGTTCTTAGACCCAGTGAAGCAGAACTTTTCCAAGGTAGCCCCGGTGAAGCAGAGTATCACCGAGTCTCCCCGGTGGGGAGATAGAGCTGTCTGGTGGCCTGGAAGAGATTGGAAGTTTTTGGCTGTCAAGACACTCAGAGCTGCAGCAGAGAAATCTGGAATGACCTCCCTAGCTGGGTTGCTTGAACCTGTGGCTGGGTTTGTGGTGGAATCCCCTAGGCTTATGGTTCTGGGAGACTTGAATCTGTCATCCCTGGGTGTGGACTTGGAAGCAGCTCAGGAGTTCATGGCCACCATGACAATCATGGACTTGAATAAATTATCTCTGGCCTGACTCGTGAGAAGGCAGGTGTTACATATTATAGTGTACCTGGTTTTTATTTCAAAACAGTGGTGACAAGATCTGAAGTTGGGGGGTATTACCATCACTCCCTTGCTTGGACAGATCACTCCCTGTTGACCTTGGAGCAGGGACGTAGGACCTATTTGACTGGTCCATCCTAGGCATCTGATGGATTCTTTTGGGTTCCAAAGGGAACTTGGGGTGGTTCTTAGGGTTTTGGTTTTACTGAGGCCATTGCCACTTGTAACAAGAGGATGATAATAGCCTTGGATTGGATAGGACCTGTGCAGACTCTCTTTGCTTGTGGAGCTTGGAGAGCTCCAACTGGTTTTCAGAGGAAGCCCAAGTGATGAAGCAGCATAAAATATGTCTAGAGATCTGCTGGAGGCATGTGAAGAGTGAACCCAACTGAGCATTGGATAACAGAATTGGATAATTTCCATCTAGCCTTCAACTTTCCCTTTTTTGTTGAAAAAGCAATTGGCTTGCAGCTCAAGATGACTCAAGAGGAAGTAGATTATTTGGACCCTTTTCAGTCAGAATTCAGATCTGGTTATAGCACTGAGATGGCATTTATCACACTTGTCGATGACCTCTGGCAGGTTCAGGATGGGAGTAGTGCATCCATCCTCGCCTTCCTTGATCTCTCAGCAGTTTTCAATACCAATAAACATGGTATCCTTCTGGACCAGCTTAGGGCACAGTGTTGCAGTGATTCTCATTTCTCTGGGGCTGATTCCAGTTAGTGTTGATGGAGGGAGAGATTGAGCCTGAGGCCCCTGCTTTGTGGGGTTTCTCAGGGCTCTATTCTGTTTAATGTTGACATGAAGCCACTGGGGAGGTCATCCATCAACATGGGGTGAGGTATCATCAGTATGCTAATGATTTCCAATTTACACTTCTGTCCTCAATGTTCTTTCCCAATGTTTGGAGGCTGTGGGGGTCTGGATGAGGAAGAACAGGCAAGACCAAGTGTCTGTGGGTTTTGAGCCTCACCCCACCCCCCAGGTTCAGAGACTTTCCATTCTTGATTCTGAATGAGGTTATGCTCCCCCAGACAGAGCTGGTGTGCAATTTAGGGGTCTTCCTGAACTCAGTGCTCCTAATTGAAAAGGAGATGGCAGCTGTAGTTAAGAGGGCTTTTGTGCAGGTTCAGCTTGAGATTGGAAAGGGTGTGAAGTAATATCAGGACTATCCAGTTTAATGATATATGTCGATTTAGCATTGTGTCTAACTAGTCCAGATAAGTGATAGTCAAAGAAAGCCAGTTTGGTGTAGTGGTTAAGGCACTAGGCTAGAAACTGGGAGACCATGAGTTCTAGTCCCACCTGAGGCACAAAGACAGAGACTTTTTTTTTTTAATTCTGGGAAAAGATAAAGGCAAATCATTTCCAAACTACAGGTAACCCTTGTTTAACGACCACTCATTCAGTGACTGTTCGAAGTTATGACAGTACTGAACAAGGAGACTTACAATCAGCCCTCAAAGTTGCAGCTGTTGCAGCATCCCCGCGGTCACATGGTTGTGGTTTGGGTGCTTGGCAATGGCTCACAATTAAGATGGTTGCAGGATCCTGTGGTCATGTGATCATCATTTGCGACCTTCACTGCCGGCTTCCGGCAAGCAAAGTCAGAATTGAGAAGCCAGCAGAAGGTAGCAAATGGCGATCCTATGATGTTGCGCCTAATGACCGTGTGAAATTCACTCAACAACGGCAACCAGAACTGCCGCAACTGCTGTCATAAGTCGCCGCGGTCATATGACATGTTTTATGACTGTGTTGCTTAGCAACAGAGTTGTGGCTCTCAATTACCATTGTTAAATGAAGATTACCTATATTGGCAAGAAAACTGCATGGAACAGGATATGAGCTTAAGTTTTTAAAAAATCTAATTAGTTAATACATATTTGAAAGAAAAATTACTTCCTATATGGAAAGTGTATGTGTATGTAAAACCAGTCTATTCAGTAGACTAACAAAAACTAATTTCCTATTTACTTATTTTAAATCTCTTAGTATGGAATTATATCACAGATTATGTGTATTAATGCTATCTCAAAAGATATTATGGCATGAAATGAAATTAACACTTACTTTGATTCCTAGACTCGGTTTCATGGTTCATATGAAACTTGTTACATCCTGTGCAGGAGTAAGCTTTCCAACAAAATAGGTCCTCATTGGTTGCAAAAAGGTTTTTCATCATGACAAACAGCTCTTATAGTTCGAGCTTCATCATATTGACACAAGCAATAAATGACTGCCTGCTAAGCCAGAAGATAACTGCTTTAACTGAACTAGTTAAATTTATAGGTTTGAAGTCTAAGATATTTAGCTGAAAGAAGCTAATAGAAAGAAATGTTACTGCCTTGTCCCACATTGTTTATGGTGTGCAGACAGCTATGGAGAGGACAGGACTGGAAATCCTTCTTCTGAGAAATGCTTTAAGTTAAATTTATCTTAGGGTTTAAGCCATGGAGCTTAGTATGTTCATATCTTGAGCTTCAACAGCATTTAACATCTCACACTCACACTTAGGCAGTGTAACATACACAAATGCAGCTTCTAATTATGTTGAACTATTCCAGAGGAGTTCCAAGAGCTGAACCTGAAAATTAATTGTAAGTCGCTCTCAAGAAGAATACATTTTGAACTAATATCTGTCCCCCTTTGTGTTGCATATTCTCAGTATTGTGATATTAATATGCCAGCAATAAAGCTAAGTTGATCATTTTTGTTTTATTGTTACAAACATATTTTAAGATCATGAAGAGTTTAGGATTTAGGCAAAAAGGTGTTTTGGAGAGCCTGAGGGCCAAAATTTAGCAGCTATCTGCAACACATTCCCATTACTGTAACTGACGTGATTCATACTTGGTTAATTTTAATATGGGGCTATAGCCAATGCTATAGGCATCATACAGGAAGACGTTGCTTTGTTATCTTCTCACTACATGGAGCACAAAGTTTCTCTGGAACATATTAGTGAAAGGACGTAGAGAGGTGGTGCAATAAAAGTCTGTTCCATTCCAGTAATACAATGACATCATTGGATATGAATTTGAATTATGTTATGACTTCAAAGCAGTGAACAGTAGCTACATCACTGAAAATGGCTCTAGTCCTGATGAACAGAATTCCTTTTCTTTTCAATGTTTCTGCTCTGACAAACCCTAACAAAATAACGAATAATAACAGCTACTTGATGAAAATTAAACCAAGTATGACTCAATCACATTGTAGCTTAGGCACACATTTTCCACAAGTTCAATGACAATAGAATGTCAGTCAAATGTTTGAGAGAGATGGAGAGGAGGATGAATGGGAGATGATAATTTCTTTGAAAAAAACTCATTTCTACACCGGAGACCCTTTCAAAGATAAATACATTAAACTAAGTTAAATGGAAGGTTCACACAGAAATATGCAGAAAAGGAAAATGGTGGGGATGGATGAGGAAAGGGGATATCTGTAGGAAAAAGAAACAGAGTGGATGAGGGCTTCCACCCTGGAATTACACAATGGGTCTCCATTTAATTAAAAGAATTGCATTCCAATCATATAGCCATTAAACATTTTAAGAAGAATGTGGGGAGGATGTCAGAGCTATAATAAACAATAGCAAAGCCGGCGACAGCCATGTTTGTTCTGTCTCTGGAACGGTTTTTTCCTATTTAAGAATGCTACAGTTTGCATGCTGAGAAAATACAATATCCCTACAAAAGGCAGCTGTGGCCTGATCCAAAAGCCTTCCGTAAATGAACAATTCTGGTTGCTTCCAAGAGTCTCTTTCCCAACAGCCTGCTGGACGAGCAGGGTGAGAAGGGGCAGAGAGTAAGAAAGAACAAAGAGGTTGTTAAAAGTGAAACAGAGACAGAAAAGGGGGATGTCAGCAAGAAAACAAGAAACGTTGAAAAGAGAAGATGGTTATAGCCTCTTCTGGCTCAGGTTTTAGCCACAGTTTAAGAGCCAGCCAACAATGGGCACCCAGACAGGCTGACCTAAGAGAAGGCAGCCTTTGACAGGAAAACAAAAATGCCCACCTTCCTACAACAGATGTTTTAGTTAGGTAAAAATATACAGGTATATGGAATGATAAAACATATACCCACTTACTGCATATGCATATATAAAAAAGTACTTAAAACTGATTTCCTGAAACTTATTTGTCTAGCATGCTTTCCTATCGGTACTTAGTGTTCTGTGTGTACTACAGTTAAGTTCAGCTATAGCTTTAAGCAATTCTTCATTGGAGATTTAATTTAAGAATCTCACAATTCTTTCCAAGGGTATATATGTGTTAGCCTGTTGGTCACAATTCCAGTACCTAGGATCAAACAGCTAAAGTTTATCAAATGTGTTTTTGCATAAACTTTCATGGGCTGGATGTAATTTCCTCAGATGTATAAAATGTTATCTCCACTAACAGGCATGCACAGGCAAGGGTGCAAAGGGAACAAAAATGTCAGAAGGAAATACAAGGCAGGAAAACACAGCTAATGGCCATCACAACTCCATTCTCTGTTTTAACGTTCTATTTCTACCGGGTATAGTACTGCTTGCTTCCATCCATCCATCCATCCATCCATCCATCCATCCATCCATCCATCCATCTCCCCATTCCCATTTCTAAAGGGAGAAACGTGCCATGTGGGAATGGCTTTAGCCCCCAAAGCTTGTATCATAATAAATGGGTTTAAAACTACATGTCATGGCTTTGAACGCAAGTGTTTTCTTTAAGAAAGAACCATCAGGGTCCCATCAATACACTGTGGAGGATGGAAAGGATATTGTTTTTGTAAATCTCCTGAGTTGGACTGCTAACTGCACAGGGAAGAAGGGCTTCCATTGAAACTAAGCGGCGGAGCCATGCAGTTTAACATCAGGTCGAATTTGGTCCTAAGGTACTACAACATTCTGTTGTGTTTGTCATAATAATAGTTTGATTTTGATAAAGATAGCAGGGAATAAGAACCAATTTTTCCATGAAGGAACTCTGCTCAGCACAAAAGCTTACTGGAATTTAAGCATTTATTGTAGTGCATACCTGAATTTGAGACGCACAAGTACAGCTCGATAGATGTGACTTGCTGGAAAATGCCGCCTTCGTCCAGATGACAGTAAAACAGGATGAATAGCTCCTACCACATATCCTTTATTATAATACTCCTCCACCTTCTTTGCAATATCCAAAACAGAGCATATTTTGATAATTTCTGGATTTGAGGTAACTAAAAGGATTAAAATAACAGAAACACTACATGTAGAATTCAAACAATTTATTAATTTACTATGTACCATTTATAATAACTTTTGATAAAGTTTAAGTTGTACAGTGATACACTATCTCTAGAGAGATCCACTATTCACTATAGAAAGCAATTCACTTTAGGTATTTACTAAGACTATGTCCCACCCAAAGTCCTGCTGCGTTGCTTCATCATGGTGGGGGTGATGGTGGTGTTCCTGGGAGAGATTAACAAAGAATATCAGGAGTGTATGCCAAGAGATGCCCCCTCCCAGCAGGGTCACCCAAGGTGTGAAGGTCATCCCAGTTGCCCAGCTAAAGCCAGGAGGCACCTATATTGGACAGCAGTGATACAGGAAGATGCTGAAGGCAGATGATCGCTTTAGTGACAGAGGCAGACATTGATTCATAGCGCGGGAGAAGGCAATGGTAAATCACTCCTGCATTTTTACCAAGAAAACCACATGGATAGAAAATATAAAATAATTGATGATATACTGCTGGATGATGGCCTCCTCAGGTTGGATGGCATTCAACATGCTACTAAGGAAGAGCTGAGGATCTTTCACAGTACTAATGATGTTTGTGATTTGGCTAGATTAAAGCCTTCAGGGCATCTAGTTGCTGATGTTGCCATACAAGAAAAGAAAATCCAATGTTGTAAAGACAGAATTACACTGGGAACATGGAATGTAAGAAAGAGGGGGAAGCTCAACAAAGTGAAAGATGAAATGAAACAATTACAAATTGACATCTTAGGCATCAGCAAGTTGCGAAGGGTTGGGATTGAACACTTTCAGTCAGAAGATCACACTGTTTATTCTCAGGACATGAAAAACAAAGAAGGAACAGCGTTGCTTTTATAGTTAGGAAGTGTATAACAGGAACAGTACTTGCCTACAATGCAATCAATGACCAAATAACGTCAATTAGACTTTGTGGACAACCCTTTAATATGACTAGTCTCCAAGTTTGTGCTCCACCTGCTGATGCAGAAGAAGAGGAGACTGATGAGTTTTATGATCAAGTTCAGTTTGAAATTGGCAGAACACGCAAGTAAGATGTGCTACTTGTGATTGGAGATTGGAATGCCAAAGTTGGAAACGTTAAAGAGGAAAATGTTGTTGGATTGTGTGGCTTAGGAAACAAAATGAAGCAGGAGACTGACTTATCAATTTCTGCCACTCTAATTAATTCTTCATAGTTAACACTGTCTTCAAATAACCAAAATGGCGCATCTATATGTGGACATCACCAGATGGAGTACATAGAAAGCAAATTGACTGTATTGTTGTTAAAAGAAGGTGGAGGAACCCAATTATAATATCAAAGACATGGTCAGGTGCTGACTGTAGAATAGATCATGAACTACTCATGTGCAAGTTCTAAGTTAAGCTAAAGAAGAAAGATAACCAGTTTCCACAATGTAATATTAAGCTTATATCGACCATTTTCAAGGAGGACATCAGGAATCACTTTGAAGTCTTGAACCCCATTGATAGATAACCAGAGGAACTGTGGAATGAACTTAAGCAATTAAGGATGAATGTGAAAAGAGACCGCCAAGATGAAAAACAGAAGAAAGCAAACTGGATTTCAGAATAAACCATGGAAATTGCCAAGAAGAGAAGCCAAAGCCAAGAAAGACAAAAATCTCATAAAGGAACTTAACAAATAGTTTCAGAGAGAGACAAGAAGTAATATTACAACAACATTTTTAAAGAAATTGAAGATGGAAACAGACATGGAAAAACAAGGAAAGTCTTTCAAAAAATATCTGGACAAGGATGCCAATGGACAGATAGTAACCAACTCAAAGGAGATCAAGCAAAGATGAAAGGAGTATAGTGAAATACTGTACAGTAGAGATATTAACATCCAAGATACCTTAGAAGATATTCCCTACTTAGAAGGACCTCTTGTATTAGAAAATGAAGTTATATCAGCACTCTGGTCATTACCAAGTTGGAAGGCTACAGGAACTGATGGAATACCCACTGAGATATGGCAAACAGAAGAAGAATCAGTAAAGGTTCTAACCAAGCTATGTCAGCAAATCTGGAAAAAAACACAGTGGCCAACAGACTGGAGGAGAGTCTACATTCCAATACCAAAAAAGGAGACTTAACAGAGTGTGCAAACTATAATACAATATCCTTAATTTCACATGGTAGCAAATAATGCTTAGAAGAAGATGGATAGGAAGATGGTTTTGAACATTGGTATTGGAGAAGACTCCTGAGAACACTGCAGACAGCCAGAAAACAAACCAGTGGATCATCGAACAAATCAATCCAGAGTTCTCACTCGAAGCACAAATGACCAGGCTCAAATTATCCTACTTCAGGCACATAATGTGAAGACCCAGCTCTCTGGAGAAGGCTCTAATGCTGGGAAAGGTGGAAGGAAAGAGAAGAGGATGACCAGTAGCAAGGTGGATGGACTCAGTTACAGTGGTGATGAGTGTGTTGTTGGAAAACCTGAAAAACCAGGTTAGAGACAGATCATCATGGACAAAATCTATATATGTGGTCACTAAGAGTTAACACCAACTTGATGGCACATAATCAATCAATCAATCAATCAATCAATCAATTAATAAATTTACTAAGAAGAAACTATTTCAAAAAACAGCACTGCATGTTGCTTCTGTTATTACATGAATGATATAGAGACCTAGATGTTGAACAGTTAATAATTATAATAACAGGTACAGGGAGAAAGTTAAACAAATTAACATTGATGATATTGTGGTTGCAGTAAGGGCTATCAAATTATTAGGTGATTTTAAAAAAGGAAGCTTATATATTAATAGATTTTGGCCTATATATTGCACATTTGCATTAGGTATTTATTTTGTTTCTATTACACACACTCAGGAAGTCTGAGTAGACACTGTAGCCTTACCACATATGAAGCTCTCCTTTTGACACCAGTCCACCTATTTTCAAGTCTGGTAATAATGTGGCATAGGAACTTGCTTTTTAAAAAAATTAAAACAAGAAAGAAAACACGCAGATTCTCTGCTCAGTATGAAGCTTACATCTATGAATTGCAGAATGTTTTCACTTCTCAGAACAATAGTCAATACTAGGCATTCCGAAACAAAGAAGCCGGCAAATAATTGCAGTCTTATCTGGCACTTTACAACATGCCCACCACCATCAACAAAATATGAAGAAAAGAAAAGAAAAAAAAGGAACCCCAACAATTGGTTTTAGTCTCATGTTGTTTCTGGAGTCCTGACACTTAACCTTACCCTCTCAGGTCCTGATACTGGACTTCACTGCCTCCAGGTTTCCCTCGATAGGAGCTTCCATTGTTTTCTCATTAGCTTCCACAAATGGAAAGGGTCCTTCCAGTAGTAGATGGAGAAGACTGGATCCAACCCTCCTCTTTTTTTTATGATGTGTGACAGAAAAATGGCAATGTCTACTATTATCTATCTATCTATCTATCTATCTATCTATCTATCTATCTATCTATCTATCTATCTATCTATCTATCATCCATCCATATCTAATCTGTCTATCACCTCAGTTACCAAAGTAAACCTAATAACAGTTATAGAATCTCTTCTCTGCACAAAATTGCTAAGCTATTGTTTGAACTATTAGCAATAAATGATCATTTTTACAAGAAATCATCTCCATCAAAGAACTTTTAGAAACCTGAAGATATGCATACTTAAATCTACTACCCATTAAAATAAAACAAACATTGTGTTTTAAATCAAAAGCCAAATGTAAAGTTATAGACTAATATAGTTACATTTAGTTTTAGGCAATCAAGCATGAAACTCAGAGAATTTGTTGCTATTATTTCTCTCATAATGAACAAAAGTTGTTTCATACAAAGCCAAATGAAAATTAAAAAAAAACAAAGCTAGCATATAATTTAGAGATGCTGTATAATGTTTCATTATGCACCCTATACATTATGCAAGCATTCTGTTTAAATTATAACAGTGACCATATAGATTGTGACTGTCATATGCAAGTTGTGTTTGGGATTAATTTCTATTAAGATCTATGCAAAAAGGCTGGAATACAGCCCTGAGTGGCTTTATGAAAACGTCTCCAATGAAACTCTCAGAAGCCACTTTTGCAGAGCAGAGCTGCCTGTTCTTAGTGGGAAGCCATCTGGGACTGTTTATTTTTCAACTTTCTGGGACATGGAGTTGGTTAGAAACAAGACACCCTACATACCTAGCAATATGTACTCATAAGGAAGGAAGTAACCCTACAGGGTAGTCTGTTTCTAACTGCACAGATGTCTATGCCCACACGAACAGTATAAAACAAAGGAGAGTATGTTCAGCTGTATTTGCTGTTGATGTCTCCAGTATCCCACTTACTGACAATAGCTCCAGTTCACCCCCAAAGGTCTGAAAAGTGATTTATTTCCTCATAGATACCCAGGTACCACGAGCACAGGCAGAGACACAATTTAAAGGTCATCTCTAAACCCTTAATCTAATAAGCAGTAGGAGAAAATGAATCAAACTTTTTTCTTCTATATTTGACCCTAAGAAACCACATTTTGCTATGTGTTCTTCTGAAAGGTTAAAATACATCATACATACCTTCTAATGTAAAATCTAGCAATATGTACTCATAAGCAGAGTCTGTTTTTGTTTCCACTTGTGGTCTCTTCAGCGTTGAAAATATTTTTCCAGGACTGCTGTCATCTGGATCTTCTAGTTTTCTCAGCCCACACCCCATCGTAAGACCTGGAGGGTGGGTAAGGAGAAGCGGAGGTAGAAATGGAGCAGGCACAAAATCGGTTTCTCTGACCAGATGGGTTAAAAACAAGCAATCTGTTTAGATCCTCTTTATTGCTGTTAACCATACGTCCAAACAGAAGCCGATCTTCTGCTCCCAAGTTAGAAAAAAGAGGAATTTTCTCTCCATATTTACAGCAAGGCACAACGCTCTTAATGATATCAGGCAACAACTTCAGCAGGAGCACGGCTTCTCTCACAAAAAGCACACAGTGCTACAAAGTGAGCAGAGATTTTCCATGCCACGTCAATTTACCGCCAGCCCCCTAGCAGTGTTCTGTTGCAGAGGGCACCAATGAGGGCTCTGTCTGGCTCTCCTGCCTGGCTGATAATGATGTAGAAAGGAGAAGCAGAAGCAAAATAAAGTTGCAGCAAAACTTTAGCGTGAGTACTTACTGTCAGAAGATCTGCTTTAGGGTAATGGCCAGCAAAAGAAAGAAAATGGGCCAGTGAAGTCAAAGGAACAGAATAGAGAGCCTCGCCATAGTCTGAGAAGAAAATCATTTCCAGAAAGGAAGTCAGCTTTAAGAGGAAATTGCTTCTGGCATCTCAAAGGGGAGGAAAATAAATGAGAAGCAGTTCAACTCTATTTTAAATGTGAGAGTTGGGTGCTCACTTCCTTTTCCTAGGACAGCTGGAAAACTACACAACGTGCTAGCAGAGCAAAGAGATTCTTTTGACTAGAGCTGTGAAATTATACAGTATTTGGAATGGCTAACTGGCCTTCTCGTGCCAGCTCCCATTGGAAAACAGGAATGAAGCAGAGTAATCCAGAGACAATCTGATTTACAAAAATGGGTCTTGGGAAACTTCCCTTCTACTTACTATCTTCTGGAAAAGTTTGTAAAAACCACCATTTAAAATTTATCTGACCTTCCTAAAACAGTAACTGAAGCACTGGGTTTCCACCTATTTACTTTTATTGGTGTTCATTTTTAAATAGATGCAATAGTCAAGCTAAGCCAGAATGTGATCCAAGGCTTGTGAGACCCCAGAAACTGGCAGCTGGAACTGTCCTATAAAAGAGCACAGTCCTGGTACACCAGCAAATCTTTTATTCATCTTATAGGTCTTTTTGAAAAGTATTAATATGATTCATACTATTCTGTTTTTTTCCCCTTTGGGCATGCCTAGTGAGATGTTTTGGAACACTGCATTTTCAATTTCAGAAATGTTTTTTCCCATGTAGAATTCATCAAGAAAGGAGGATCAAAACCCCCATGACAAATGATGAAGCTTTGCATCAATTCCAAATTCTCAGTAGCATCACTGGTGATCCATATTAGGTGATGTGGTAACTGAATTTGTTTTTATAATGATTATGCAACATTTTTTGATTTCCTGAATCTGACAGAATTTGAACTTGAATTTCTACAGGAATATTTTTATGTCAGAGCAACCTGCACTTAATCTAAACAAAGAAGCATTCATTTCCAAAACTGTTGCTTAGCTTAAAACAGATTTGTATGGTTATAAAATGCTTATATACTTTGGAATTATAGTCCATAGTTTGGAAACTAACAGAAGAATAAAGGAAATTAATACTGCACACTTCGATAATCCCCCACCCCAAATAACAACAATAACAACAGTAATAAAAAAATAAAAATCAATACAAGAATGGAAGGATGCTTATTCTCCAGCAGTGATCCAAATTTCTCATCTCTGTTTTTATATCTGAACAAGCACTTTACTGCTGGGAGTTTCATGCAGAGGACTATTTAGACATTTGGACTGCATATAATAGTTCATATGATTTTTCATTTTTTTCCTCTGTTAAGTAAACTGACTTGAGAGTTAGTAACTTAACTGCGTACATGAAATAAATAGATATGTAAGACTGATTTTAACATGTAAATGGGGTAGTGGCAATGCGGAAGACTGTTGTTATTTCAAGGTGTTTAGGTGACGTAGTTTGATTTCTCCTGCACATATTAAGAAAGCTCACTTTGAATCATAATAATGTTTAGCTGGCTTGTTTTTCACTTTTACTTAGAAGTGGGGGGGAGGGCAAAACCCTCGGGATCGTTTAGATTAAGACTAGCTTATCTGTACAGTTCTCAGGCTTTGGAATCTTTTGATGAGCAGGTATAACGTCTGGCCAAGGCCACTTTCAAAGCCTCTGACTCCAAAACAGAGTCATGGGATCGCAGTGCCAGACTTTAATAAAAAGCCCTAGAATTGCCCTTGGTCTCAGGACTGGGTGCTGGGTTATCTAAACCATCTTGGGATCTCTCCACTGTCACCTGATGATAGCTCCCAACAGTAGGGGAAGAGTTTTATCATCTTCTTTGGTACGTTATGCTTTTATACTATGCTTATGTATTTCTGTTTAATGCTATCTGCTAATTCTTATATATCTGGTTAAATCTGTTTGCGAGAGTTAACAATAAAGCTTAAAATCTCCTTATCTACTGATGTGTTTGTTGTCTCTGGATCTAAAAGGACAAACAGAACCACTGGTCTCGTACCTGTCAGTGCCTTGACAATTGGCAAAACAGCTTTCATGGTCTGCTCTTTTTGTATGTGCCCCATTTAGCTGATAAGAAGCCAGGTTTCCCCCACCTGGGAATAGGGTGGGGAGTTTGTAACTTTGCTGAAAATTAAGCAAGGAAATTAAAAACAAGGAATTGAGCAGGAATGGTGAAAGAAGGTGACTTGAGGGAGGAGTGGGGCTCATTTCTCTGGGTGGCAAATTCTGTTTGTGACACCCTAACAGGGCTTCTCTCACTCAGTCCAGGAACCTCTTTCTCTCCTCTTCTTTTCATCCAGTTCCTTTTCTCCCTTCATCTTCCATTCCTTTTGTGTCACACTGTCCCCTTATCCCATTTTCATCCTGTTCTTTGCTGTTGTTTCTGCTGAAAGAAGGGAAGGGAAGGGAAGGGAAGGGAAGGGAAGGGAAGGGAAGGGAAGGGAAGGG